TCAATCCCCACCAGGAGTCACTCCTAAACAGAGACAGGAATAGCCCCGGAGCACTGCTGAATGTCATCTAGACCCCCTTCAAAACATCTATGTGTATGTTAACATTTTATCACTTAAAGATTCGGTATAACTCAGTAAGCCAACATGTTCCAGTGTCCAACACATGATGATATAAGATCACACATTCCAAGTAAAAGGGTGATTCTAATTAAGTACAAATAAATCAAAATGGGTTTGGGGCCAGTAGAGACAGAACTGCCTTATATGTGCCTGACCTCGGTTCAATCCCTGACACCACATATGGTCCCCTAACCCCAACCAGGAGTGATCTCTGAGCACAGAACCATGAGAGAGGAAGAGAGGGATGGAAGAGGGAGGGAGGGAAGGAGAGAAGAGAGGGTTCGATTCCCAGCATCCCATATGGTCCCCTGAGCATCGCCAGGAGTAATTCCTGAGTGTAAAGCAAAAAAAAAAAAAAAAAAAAAGAATGTCTTCAATGCAAGCATATGGTCATGAGTTCAAATCCTCAGTGTGCCATAGGCCCCCAAGCATATCCAGGCAACTCTCCTGTTTAAGTCTAGGATCTCTGCTGTCGGTGACCCAAAGACCACAGGAGATTCCCAGAGGCAACACTCAAGTCACTGGCTGCATATTTTTAGAATTGCAATAAACATATGTGAACACATGTCCAGTCTGTCTGATGTATTTATTTCATCCAGAGGATAAAGTCCAAACATGATTTTGAAGGCAATATATACTTTTAATTAGCTAACACTGTAACAATGCTCAAAACAATTTATGAGCGCCTCATCAGTTTTTATATAACTTCTGCCAATCTGATGGTAATTCATTGTTGTTTTAATTTGTGTTTCCCCATCTGCTATGGGGGTTGAAGTTTTCATTAGCTGACCATTTATATTTCTTCCACTATTCACAACACTGCCCAGGCTTATATTGTTAGGTCATGCAAATAATTCTTCCTAAATTATAATTATAATCCAGACCACATGCAAGAATAAATTCTAGGGTCAGGGACCAGAGCAACAGTACAATGGGTAGGGGGCTTGCCTTGCACACACAGCCAACTTGGGTTTAATCCCTCGCACCCCAAATGGTCTCCAGAGTCCCACCAGGAGTGATCCCTGAACGCAGAGCCAGCAGTGAGACCTGAGCACCACTGAGAGTAGCCCAAAAGCTAAATAAATAAGTAAATTCTAGAGGCAGAGAGATAGGTCTAAGGACTGAGCACATGGTTTGCATGCAAGAGGCCAGAGTGTTATACCCAGTACTTCTAGGTCCCCTGAGCACCACTAAGTGTGGCCCCCCAAACTAAGAATAAGTTAAAAAATTAAATATGAAAGTTAGCTGATCAAAAGTTAGCTGATCAAAAAGAAAACAAACAGATGGAGGGACACACTCCTTATGTGTGAGCACCACAAGGAACAGCCCTTGATAAAAATAAAAATAAATAAGCCAAAGGTTCTTATCAAGGTGGCAGGCACAGGCTGGGGGTGGGGGGCGGGAGGGAGGGGGCGGGTGGAGTGATAGTACAGAGGGTAGGGCATTTACCTTACATGTGACCAACCCAGATTCAATCCCCAGCATCCCATATGGTACCCTGAGTACCTCCAGTAATAATCCCTGAGTACTGCCAAGTGTGGCCCCAAAACAAACACAAACAAACAACAATAGGGGAGGATCCATTATGACAATATTAGGTGTAAATGATCACTCTGGACTAGAACTGAATGTTGAAGGCAGGTAAAGGGATACACATGATAACCTTTCAGCATCGGTATCACAAACCTAATGTCTAAAATGAGAGAGAGGAAGAGAAAGAGAGAGAAGAGAGGTGCCTGCCACAGAGGCAGATACGAGTGGGGATGGAAGGTGGCTTGAAGGACTGGGAGAGAAACTGGGGACACTGGTGCTGGGAAATTACACTGGTGAAGGGACAGAGTGTTGGAACATTATATGATTGAAATGCAATCATGAACAATTTTGTAATGCTCTATTCTCACTGTGGGCTGGAGCAATAGCACAGCGGTAGGGCGTTTGCCTTGCACGCAGCCACCATGGCCGACCCAAGTTCGATTCCTCCGCCCCTCTCGGAGAGCCCAGCAAGCTACCCAGAGTATCTCGCCCGCACGGCAGAGCCTGGCAAGCTCCCCGTGACGTTACTGGGCCCGCTCGAGCAAATCGATGATCAACGGGAGGGCCTTTACCTTTACCTTATTCTCACTGTGACTCAATTAAACAAATAAGTAAAATAAAAATAAACAAAGAAACAAAGTGGCAGGCTGGGGACTGTGGTGGGGCAGGGAGAGGGAGGGAAGCTGGGAACCCTGGTAGAGAGAAGGAGACCCTGTTGGTGAAACTGGTGCTGGAACACTGTGTGTCTAAAACCCAGCGATGAGTAACTTTGTAAATCATGGTGCTTTAATAACTTTATTTATTTATTTGCTTTGCACATCTAGCCATGCACAGGGGTTACTCCTGGCTCACGCATTCAGGAATTACTCCTGGTGGTGCTCGGGGGACCATATGGGATGCTGGGAATTGAACCTGGGTTGGCTGCGTGCAAGGTAAACGCCCTACCTGCTGTGCTATCACTCCAGCCCCACTTTTTTTTTTTTTAAGTTTTTATTAGTAAAACACCATGAAATACAGTTGTAGACTTACAAATTTTTGTGCTTGGGTTTCAGTTATACAATGATTGAGTACCCATCCCTCCACCAGTGTCCATTCTCCACCACCACTGATCCCAAAATCCCTCCCACCCCGACCCCCATCCCACCCCGCCTCCGTGGCAGGGCATTCCCTTTTTTTCTCTCTCTCCTTTTGGGTGCTGTGGTTTGCAAAAGAGGCATTGAGTGGCAATCATGTTCTGTCTATAGTCTACTTTCAGCATGCATCGCCTATCCTGAGAGGATCCTCCCAACACCCTTTACTTGGTGCTCCCTTCTCTATCTGAGCTGCCTTTTCCCCTAGCATGTGCGGCTGGCCTCCAAGCCATGGAGTGAACCTCCTGGTACTTACCTCGGCTATTCTTGGGTGTTTGTCTCCTATTTTGTTACTTTATATTCCCCAGATGAATGCAATCTTTCTATGTATTTCCCTCTCTAACTCATTTCGATTAGCATGATACTTTTCTTGTAGTACCACTTGTATATAAATTTCATGACTTCATCTTTTCTAACAGCTACATAGTACTCCATTGTGTAGATGTACCAAAGTTTCTTTAACCAGTCTGTTCTCGTCCAGCCCCACATTTTAAAAAAATAAATTAAATAAATAGAGCCTGGGCTTGGAGACATGGCTGAGTGGCAGAGTGCCTGGGGCGCAGGTGTGAGGCTGAGAGAATTTGCTCTCTAGTACCAGCCGCTCCTTTGCATGTATCTTGCTGGGATCCTCAGAGCCTTAGGGCCTCCGCAAATCATAGCTAAATTCCTACTCCTTGACATAGCAACAACTAAGAGTGGAGGGGAAATTTAAAAAAAAAAAATGTTTTTTGTTTATTGGCCATACCCTAGACTGCTTAGAGCTTACTGCTTACAGCTCAGTGCTCAGGGGTGGCTCCTGGTGATGTTCAGTGCTGGAGGCCACTGAGTTCTCTTTCCACCCCCCAAATAAATAATTGTTTAAAAGAATCAGCAGTCAGACAGTACAGCGGATAAGGCACTTGCCTTGTACGCGGGCAACCCAGATTTGATCATCAGCACCCCATATAGTCCCCCACTGCCAGGAGTGACCCCTAAGTGCAGAGCCATGAGTACTGAGTACTGAGCACCAAAACCCCATGTAGCCCCCCCAAAACCAAAACCAATAATAAAATTTAATTTTAAAAAATCACGATCACGATCACAATCATCCTGTTGTTCGTCGATTGCCTCAAGCAGGCCCCAGTAACGTCTCCTTCGTCCTAGCCCTGAGATTTTAAAAAGTGCCACATTCAAGGCACTTTCAGGGTTAGGAGAATGAGACCCATCATTGTTACTGGTATTTGGCATATTGGGTACGCCACGGGGAGTTTGCCAGACTCTGCCGTGTGGGCAGGTTACATTCGGTAGCCTGCCAGGTTGTCCAAAGCAAGAATGAGATAATAAGATGTTAACTGTTTTAAAAAATAAAACAGTTAATAGGCATCAGAGAGATTTTGTTGAGCAAGAGGCAAAACAAAGGAAAGACTGTCACAGGATTCCATTCAAGTTCTTAGCTACATTTTTCCACGTTTTACGTTTGGGCTATTCCCAGCTATGCTCAGGAATCACTCCTGACTGGACTCCGGGGACCCTACGAGTGTGCAGTAGTGGGGACTAAAGAGGGATTGGCTGTATGCAAGCCAAGCGTTTTACCCACTGTACTATAATTCCACCGCCTATTTTTACCTACTGACGTCATTCATTAAAACAGGGTATTAGATACGTTGGGAATTGAAAAAAAATTAATGAAGTTTTTATTACTAAGCATTTATTAACAATGCTATCACTATTCCAAAGATAACATGTATAGAAAATGCCACTGGGGAGGCCGAAGAGATAGTACAGGGGCTAAGATACTGGTCTTGCTGGAGGCAGACCCCGACCCAGACCCCAGAACCATCGAGGATCCCCTGAGCACTGCCAGAAGTGACCTCTGAGCACAAAGCAAGGGGTAAGGCATGACTAATGCCAGACAGAACACAAACACACACTCCTCCTGACACACACACACACACACAAATAAATATATGCACGTATATACTGCTGCTACTACTGAAAGGAGCTCTGAAGGGAATGCTAAATTCCCACTTCCTACTTCTGCATTCTATTCACCACCCACTACATGATCCCTCCAACATTACATGCCCTTTAAGGTGATCTCCGGAAATAAGGACCCTTAATCGGACCGCTCTGTCTTGGGAGCTCGTCTACCCCTCATTGTGTCGGTGGCGGTGATAAGCATCCAGCCCCATGTCAAAAGTGACTACGGTGACGTTTAGTAAAAGCACAGCGACTCACCCAAGTGGGGAAACAGGTCAGTGTCCAGCTGATGCTTTTGGGTGCACAGTTTCACCAGTCTCTGCAGTCGACTTATACAAGAGAAGTGGGGCGAGAAGGCGGTGGCTTTCATCAGGATCCGGTCAGTCCGGGGCGGGTCCCCGACAGGAGCCCGGCTGGATGGCAGGAGGGGCAGTGGCCTCTTGTGAGGCCACTGCCTTGCTTGTGCTATAGTGTGTGTGGTGGGGGCCACTCCCTGCATTGGTAGGCTGGTGTTCTGAGGTTGAGGTGACTTGCAGACTAAACCCTGCGGCGGCGCTGGAGGTTTGAGAGACGTGGACAACGGTGACAGGTGGGCGTGCTGCGGCGGAGGCTGCGAAGGTGCAGGAGGGGGACTAAAGTGCTCTTGCCGGACTTTCAAAATCTCGGTCTCTCGCTGGCGCTGCCGATTCTGGGCCAGCTTGCTCTGCAGCTTCTTCTTCACGGTTGCCCCTTTCTTCAGGTCGTCGTCTTCCTCGTTGAAAGCAAAGGGGTCCTCCAACTCGGTGTCCAGGTAGTGGAGGGGGACCCTGGCCCCCGGTGGAGAGAGGGACATTCCGTCCAGTCCGTTGGGCATCTTCAAGGCCAACGTGGGCACCGTCAGGCTAAAGGCCATGGTATCCATCTGGTGCCTGACCTTCACCTCCTCTATCGGATCATTCTTTTTCTTCCTCTCTTTTTTCGGGATAAAGCCGAGTACCTGCAAGTGACTGCTGCAGTACCTTTGAAAAAAAACACACATACACATGCATGGGAAAATGGTCACGGCACATAGCAGGAAGAGCAGCACACAGTGAACAGGAGTCCCAAGATGCTAAAAATGGATGACTGAACTAACTCCTGGTGTTTGTGGGCTTAACAGATGCGACTTCCTCTACTCTCAAGTAATCCTCTAAGTCTGAGCAATTTCCCACAGCAAATAGGTGAGTTCTCTGTGGAAAGAGGCAAATCATCCAGTTTCTGAGTGGCCCGGGGTAACAGACCAGCCAATGCTTCCTTACACATCTTTTTCTCTATTCATAGCTTAGATAAGTAATTTATCACCCATTTCAAGGATCACTTAAAATTCTCTTAGGGGGGCAGGTTGGAAGGGCATATTTTCCAATGCCTTTGAAGCATTTTGGCCACTCAGAAAGATCTTATGGCATAATCCTTAAAAATGGTAAATGGGGATGGAGCAACAGCACAGCGGGTAGGGCGTTTGCCTTGCACGTGGCCGACCTGGGTTCAATTCCCAGCATCCCATACGGTCCCCCCAGCACCGCCAGGAGTGATTCCTGAGCGTAGAGCCAGGAGCAACCCCTGTGCATTGCCGGGTGTGACCCAAAAAGACAAAAAAGAAAAAAAAGGTAAATGTCTTCTGTCAGTGACAGAGAGGGAGGGGGGGAGGGAGGAGAAAGTTACAGAAAAGAGAAGAAAAAACAAACTAATAAAAACTAGTGAAATTATAGATAAAAGGAGTCTCTCGATGATGAGATATCAGCATACAGATTATGCCTACCTGTAGGTAGACAATTACTTTAAGTACTAAATATCTTCAGTTAAGCTAGGGTGACAGTACAATGGATAGGTCGCTTGCTTTGTATGTGGCTGACTATGGTTCAATTCCAGGTACCCCATATGGTTCCCTGAGCCTGCCAGGAGAGATCATTGAGCACAAGGCCAGGAGTAAGCACTCCTGGGTATGGCCCCAAACCAAAATAAACAAACAAAAATAAATAAATAAACTTCAAATGAGAAAACTAAGCTTGTAGAAATTAAAAAAAAAAAAACTGCTCCAGACAATTCATCTGTAAAGTAATAAGAACTGAGAAGTGACTTTAAAAATCACGGTCACGGTCACGGTCCTCCTGCTGTTCATCGATTTGCTCGAGTGGGTCCAGTAACGTCTCCATCGTGAGATTTGTTGTTACCGTGTTTGGCATATCCAATACGTCACGGGGAGCTTGCCAGGCTCTGCCGTGCGGGCGAGATAATCTCGGTAGCTTGCCGGGCTCTCCAAGAGGGGCGGAGGAATCGAACTCAGGTCGGCCATGTTGGCTGCATGCAAGGCAAACGTCCTACCCACTGTGCTATCGCTCTAGCCCCAACTTTAAAAATAATAATAATAATCAAGGGCTGGAGAGAGACTGCATGAAAAAGGCATTCTCCTGGCATATGCCCGACCCAGGTTTAATACTTAGCACCACATATGCTCCCCCCAAGCGCCCCCAGAGTGGTATCTGGGTGAAGAGCCAGGAGTGAGCTCTAAGCAGAGCCAAGTGTGGGCCCAGAAGAATAAAGAGTAGCCAAAGTAACAGAACAATGGGGTGGGCATTCACATGCACGTGACCAACCTGGGCTCAATCTCTGGCATCTCATATGGTCCCCCAAGCACAGCCAGGAGTAACCCCTGAGCACTGCTGGGTCTGGCCCAAAAACCAAAAAAAGAGGGAAGGAAGGATGGAAGGGAGGGAGTGAGGGAAAGGAAGGAAGGAAGGAAGGAAGGAAGGAAGGAAGGAAGGAAGGAAGGAAGGAAGGGAGGGAGGGAGGGAGGGAGGGGAAGGAGGGAGGGAGGAAGGAAGGAAGGAAGGAAGGAAGGAAGGAAGGAAGGAAGGAAGGAAGGAGAAAGACTTAAAATAATGCTCATGGAAACTCATTAGCCGTCAATAATGAGCAAGTTACTTTTATAATATAGATGCTATTTTTAAAATACTACAGGGATCAAAGAGATGGCTCAAAGGGCAGGATGTTTTATATGAAGGAGCCCCAGGTTTGATCCCCTGGTACCCCACATTGTCCCCAAGCCCTGCCAGGAATGATCCCTGAGCACAGAGCCAGGAGAAAGCCCTAAGCATATCCAGGTGTGATCCAAAACACAAAACCAAACAAACAAAATACCCAGAGTAACTCTTATTTTATTTCTTGCTGTAAAATATTAAGATAATACTTGCTTCAGTTGAAATGGAAAAAAAAATCCAGGCTGACAAACTACAATAAACTAAATTTAAAACAAAATTATAGAGGGGCTGGAACTAAGCATGTGCTTTGCCTAAGAGAAGTCTGGGTTCAATCACCATGGTCCCCCAAGCACCACCAATAATACAATCAGAAACAGCCTCCAAACCAAAACAAAAACCAAAAAATTAGAGTTTATAATGGGCTGGAGCGATAGCACAGCGGTAGGGCGTTTGCCTTGCACGCAGCCAACATGGCTGACTTGAATTCGATTCCTCTGCCCCTCTCGGAGAGCCCGGCAAGCTACCGAGAGTATCTCGCCCTCACGTCAGGGCCTGGCAAGCTACCCGTGATGTATTCGATATGCCAAACACAGTAACAACAAAGTCTCCAATGGAGACGTTACTGGGCCCGCTTCAGCAAATCGATGAACAACGGGAGGACAGTGACAGTGACAGTGACAGTGTTTATAATGGCAGCTGAAATTTTTTTTAAATTTTAAGATGAAGTTATGAAATTTACATACAAGTGGTACTACATGGAAAGTATCATGTTAAGCGAAATGAGTCAGAAAGAGCAGGATAGACACAGAAAGATTGCATTCATCTGGGGAACATAAAGCAACAAAACGGGAGACTAACACCCAGGAATGGCTCAGATTAGTACCAGGAATTTTGCTCCATGACTTGAAGGCCAGCCACATGTGCTAGGTGAAAAGGAAGCTCAGATAGAGAGGAGAGCACCAAATAAAGGGTGTTGTGAAGACCCTCCCAGGGTGGGAGAGACATGCTAAAAGTAGTCTATAGACCAAACATGATTGCCACTCAATGCCTCTCTGGCAAAACACAGTACCCAAAAGAAGAGAGAGAGAACAAGGGGGAATGCCCTGCCACAGCGGCAGGGTGGGGGGGGGGGGGTTGGGGGGGGGAGGGATGCTAGGACCCGTGGTGGGGGAGGATGGGCACTGGTGGAGGAATGGGTACTTGATCATTGTATAACTGAAACCCAAGCACAAAAATTTATAAGTCTATAAATGTACTTCATGGTGTTCCACTAATAAAAAAAAAATGATAAAATAAAATAAATAAACAAATAAATTTTGCTATTTTTATGACAAAAAAAAACAATCCAAGTTTATCCAGAATTTAAATTAAAAAAAAAAAAAGAACAGGAGCAAGAAATTACCATTTCCATTTCCAGTCTGTTAAAACCAACTGGACAAATATTTAGCATAATACACTGGTCTTTTTCTCATCTGAGATTAAAATTTTATTTCTTGCCTCACTAAGCAGCTGTTTCTACCTTTCAGGTATTGTAATTTGAGGCCTTACATGCTCATTAAAAATTCTAAGTGAGTATTCCCAAATTACATTACACTAAACTCATTTTCATAGCAACTCTATCAACATAAATTATTTATTTCACCCTGAAAGTGTAAAAAATCATTCAACATGACATATAAAATGCATGATTCCTTTCAGCCAATTTGTGTAGGTAACATCTGCTTATGTATAAGTTGTATATACATATTCAAAGACAGAAGTAAAATGTTAAAATTTTCTAAATTAAAAAAAAAAACACTTAAAAATTTGGAGAAAATAAGCGATGTTCAACCAAGATCTATATAGCTGCTGGAGAAATGGTGAAAAAGAGACATAAAAAAGAGATTAAATGAAAATGCAGTTAGAATTTAACCCCCAAATGAACCACCCTAAGATTCCTTCTTTACCTTCTTTTAAAATATTTCTTCTTTGGGGGATAGAGAGATAATATAGTACATACACAAGGCCTTACATATAGCTGATGTAGGTTCAAACCCAACACCCTAAACGGTCCGGAGCCAGGAGAAATCCCTGAGCACAGAGCCAGGAATTAGCCCTTGGCACAGCTGGGTGTGGCCCAAAAACAAAACCAAAAAAATCTGCTTTTTTATTCAACATAGCATAAATTCACAATTCTAGTAATAAAATGTAATCTGACTGTGAAAATAGGTTCTAAATCACAGTAAACAGACTCTATCTGGTATTATTTTTAAAAGAATCAAGAGTATGAAAGCCAAACACTGCTTAGAAGTCTTCTAACCGATTTGGGTAAGCAGGCTTTTAAATAATCTTTTTCACTAAGTATATATAACCTGTGCTCTCCTCCAAATACATTTTTAAAATTTCAAAACCATTTTTATTCATGATACCTAACTAGTTCCTAAAATTTCTGAGACAAATTACAAACTTAAGCAAAGAAGCTGAAAAATAAGCATTTCAATGCTAAGACTTATAGCAGCAATTTTAAGAAAGAAACTTTTACAGTAATTCTTCAAAGTGTATCAAACAACAAAAAGAGTAGACACTTAAACTTTTTAAACAATTCCCCAAACTTACTACTCCTTCCTTTATACATTGTATAGGTTGCCACAGCCCATCTACAGAAGCATTCCTCACCCACCCCCACCCCCACCCTGTACATAATTACCTCCTGAACCCAACATCCAACCACTCAGTATCACAAGGAAGAAGAGAATTACTTACATAGGCCATAGGCAGCTAATGTAATCAAGGCCTGTTTCCCTTTAGCACTTAGTTCTTACCTACGATCCTCTGATTTGGGGATGGGGTTGGTGCAGCGTTGGCTGTTATACTTGGCCACATATTCACATTGCTTGAAGGGGGCAGTCTTGTCCTCCAGAACGTGTCTGATACAGAAAGCGTAGCCGTTGAGTCGCCGCTGCTTGCAGAGTTTGGGGCTATATGAGCACAAGGGCTTATTGTCAACCTCAGAGAAGTGTATATGTTTCCCTTCATACATCACGTGACTCTATTCCTTGTGAACATCAGCTAAAAAGATCACCACAGAAAAAAGAAAAGAAACCCAAATGATAAATCAGAGAACAGAAGGCAGATCGAAGCTGAGAATTTCACTGAGGGACTTCTGGCCCCACAGCCATACCTGATTTTAAATCTTCTGCACCATAGCAATGTTAAGAGAACCCAAGGATACCAGTTTGGAATGCTGAAGAATCAAGATGAGGCAGATTGTCTACAAAAATATCAAAAGGCCTAGTTAACAAACAGAAATTAGCAAGGCTGGCTTACCTGGGAATCAAAATACTGGGACATGCCCCTTCGCCCCTTCCTAAAGGCATCACGCATTCACTGTAAGGCAACACCCCAAAACTGGATTCAAGATGGAAATAAGCAGGATAAAATAGCAAGTGACTTCACTCCTCCAAATGGAAGCAACTTTTTTGAGGGGGGGAGATCACACCCAGCAGTATTCAGGGCTTACCTGGCAGGGTTGGGGGGGGGGGGGGGCTAGGGAGTACCAGGAAGCTAAGGAAGGTCAGAAGCTAGGGAGGTCAGGGGCACGCAAGGCAAGTGTCTTATCCACGCTATCATCTTTCGGGCCCACGGAGATTTAACTTTGCCGCTAGTTAAATGTTAAGAATACCTCAAAAGAGCAGTGCTCCTCACCAAATAGATATTGTAAGGTGGCACATCTTTTCATTTCATTACTGGTGGAGGCATGCTATATACTGTTAGAACCCACCTCCCTTTACAATGCCAAGGAAAGAACTGAAGCCCTAGAATTTCCCAATGAAAGTCTATACTTTCTGTATGTGTGGTGCTGGGGTTCAAACTCAGGTCTCACACCTGCAATGTAAGCATTCTACCCTGGGCTCTAAATTCATTCTCTCTCTCCCCCCCACCCCCTCCCAGAGGTAGTACATGCAGCGATGCTCAGGGTTTACTCTTGGCAATGCTTGGGGGACTATATGTAGTGCTGGTGATCAAGCTCAGGTCAGCCATATGCAAGATAAGAGCCTTACCTACTGTACTCTCTCCAGCTCCCAAATTCTATTTTTTTTCAAGGGCAGCAAAATATTTAAAGATTTTGCCACAAATACTTCTAGAAAATTTAGGGGAAAAAGTTTTAAAGAACAAATTCTTGTTTTAAAAAAATCATTTTCTGGGGGCTGAAGCAATAGCACAGCGGGTAGGGCATTTGCCTTGCACGCAGCCGACCCGGGTTAGATTCCCAGCATCCCACATGGTCCCCTGAGCACCACCAGGAATAACCCCTGTGCATCTCCGGGTGTGACCCAAAAGCAAAAAAATAAATGAATTAATTTAAAAATAAATTTAAAAAAATGATTTTCAGGGGCCAGAGTGATAGAACAATGGGTAGGATACTTGCCTTGCATGTGGCTGACCCAGGTTCAATCCCTGGCATCCCTTATGGTCCCCCCAGGCCCACTGGGAGTGCTCCCTGAGTGCCAAGACAGGAGTAAGCACTGAGCATCTCCAGGTGTGACTCCAAAGCAAAATAAAAATAACTAAGCCATTTTCTAATGGCTTATGCCATGAGAGCCAAATCCCCAGTCAATAAATAAAGACTTGTTTTGTTTCATTTGTGAGCTGCAGAGAACATACCAGCAAACGAACAGGTATTTAATTTGCGTACAGTCCACCCTAGTTCCAATCCCCAAATATTGTTCCTCAAGCACCATCCGGGGTCACTCCTGAGCACTTAGGAATGGCCCCTGAGCATGGCCTGGTGTGCTCCCTGCAGTCCACAAATGAAACAAAACAAGTCATTGTTTTGGCTGCGGTTTTGGCTCTAACGGCATAACTCGTACGTGAATTTGATCCTCAGCACCACAATACCCCCACGTGCTACTGGGGGTGCTTCCCCAGCCAAAGAAAGGTCCTATCTCCCCTCTCTTATCATTCTACATCTACCCATTCAGACTAAAGTTACCTGAGTCTGGGTCTACAGAGCAGTCACCTAACCATACACTCAGCATCCAATGCCATGTTGTATACCACAAGGAGCTTTGTGCACCTTTGGAGGTTTAATGAAAAAGCAGAAGGGGAGGGTACCACATAGTATTCACTACATCTAGATGCTATACACAAAAGGTCAAGTACTAAGATGTACATACTGTAACACGTGAGGCTGACAATAAAACTAAAAAGATTAATGTGTAAAGGCAGCCTGGCAGTGAGTTGATCACTACACACCTTCCTTCATACCTCAAAAGGCATCCTGAATGCTGACGGAACAATGTGGATACTAGCTCCAGAAAAAAAAACACAAGAAAAACTGTCTTTTACCAAAGTGAATAGGAAATTCCTCACAGCAGTGAATGACAAGATCCATAAACACATGACGAATTCAGACTGAAATCAGTCACTCACAGCTCCGCCTTTAACCAATCACTTAAACTCCCTGCATCTCCAGTTTCTCACCTGTAAAGCAAAGCAGCTATGGGGCCTTTTTTTTATGCGAGCACTTCTGGGAGCGAGTCCCCGAGCACTGCCAGGGGGGACCACCAAACCAAAAATAATTAGAACAACAATAATAACAGATATTTTTACATCAAGTTGCCTTGAAGGTCAAAGGCACTACAGAGGCAGCCAGAAAGATAGCACAGCCGGCAGGGGAGGCCTTGCATGTGGCTGACCAAGTTTGATCCCTATACCACATATGGTCATCCCCACCCCATCCCCACCAGGATGATCCCTGAGCACAAAGCTGGGAGTAAGCCCTGAGAGCAGCTCGGTGTGGCTCCAAAACAAATGAAAGTAAAAGCTAGGGAGTATGCAACACACTAGGAATGGCGGCCAGTAAAGCAGGGGAGCAAAGAGAAGTGACTATTCACAGATGTCAATTTCTAATTCTCCTATGATCTTCCTTCCGAGGATAAAGGGGGTAGACTATTGTATTTCTCTCCTGTATTTGTTTTTGTCTTGGGCCACTTCTGGGCTGTTGGATGACCATGAGTTAACTTGGGGGACCATGAGTTAACTTGGGGTTTCCACATGCAAAGCATGTGCTCTTACACCCTGAGCCATCTTCCTGGCCTCCCCTCCATTTTCCAGGCAGGAGTTACACCGTGCAGTTCTGGGGGTGTCAGGGAGTGAAGGGGGAGGGCAAGCAATGGTGGGATAAACTCCAGTCCTCATATATGCCAGGCAAAATGCTCTGCCACTTCAACCATCTCCCCAGCCTCTATGTTGCCCTTGAAAAACATTTCGCTTACTCTAGTACAAAAACAAACAGACCTGAAATACTAACTTGGCTAATAAAAACAATATTCATTACTAAGTAAATCTAGTGGCACAACAATGTGAAACAAAAATAAGAGTACTCTGAGGATTTAAGGAAGAATGGCTACACTAAATTCTTAAATTTAGTTGTCCGGAGGACCAGATGTTCAGAAAAGGAAATGCTTCAAAGTCAACCTCCCCTATTTCACTTCTATACTACCTCTGGCCTGTGCATCTACCTGGCAAATATCAATCTTTCATGAATTAAGTTGAAGTAAATCTATAACTGTCAAAAAAAAAAGCATAAGTGCGAACAGAGTGTGTCTTTATGAATGAGTGCTATATATATTCATGTGTGTGAGACAATCACAAAAACGAAAAGACATGAAGACAATGTTCTTTCATTCTCCTTTTGGGGGGGTAGGGGTGGTTGGGCCATACCCAGGGATGCTCAGGGCTTACTCCTGGCTCTGTGCTAAGGAATTATTCATGGCATTGCTGGGGGAATCATATGCGATGCCGTGGACTGAACCCAGGTTGGCCGCATGCAAAGCAAGGTCCCTACTTGCTGTACTATCACTCCGACCCCTTTTCATTCTTTTTGTGGGATGCAGGTACTGGAGACAGATCCACACATGCAAGGCAAATGCTCTGAATTACCTCCTCAGCCCTAATGATCACTCTTACCCTGATATAGTCAAGATATGTATTTATCTGTAAAAATTTATTTTGCCTTTCTAATTTTTATATATTTTATTTCTGGTGAGGGCCTCCCAAAGCAATGCTCAGAAAAGCCTGTGGAGGTACTCCCTCAAGCAGGGTTTAGATCTGGGAGCCCTCCTGACAATTATCTACCAAGTAAGTCAGAGGTTCAATGTGAGTGCCTGGGTGTTAGGACCCTACAGAACTTGGGGGCCTCCAGGGCTGAACCCAGCAATGTTTTGGGGACCAGGTGGTACCCAGGATCGAATGAGGGTCAGCTATGTTCAAGGCATGTGCCTTAACCCTTGTATTATCTTTCTGGTTTCTATTTTACAAATTTTATAGCCATGCTACCTGCCACTAAACTTTCTTTTCCTTTTTTTTTTTTTGTGGTTTGAGGGCTCAAACTTATGGCCCTGAGACAAAATTCTTATAACTGCAAATTGAAATTCAATTGATCTGGGGTAGGAGGGTAGGGAAACAATAATAGAGATCAAATCCAAAGACTCACCCATGCATAGCAAACACTTGACCACTGAGTCAAATCCTCAGTCCTTACCTGATTTGTTTTTGGTCTTAAACTGACCCTTGTTGGACACATATTTTAGGGTTGAATTTGCTAGTTAGGATTTACCTACATTGCCAGAGCAATAGTACAGCAGGTATGGTGTTTGCTTTGCACGTGGCTAACACAGGTTTGATACCCAGCATCCCATATCATCCCATGAGTACTGCCAGGAGTAGTTCTTGAGTGCAGAGCCAGAAGTAAATCCCTGAGCATCCACAGGTGTGATCCGAAAAGGAAACAACAACAACAACAACAACAAAACAGTATTTGGGCAGGAAAGATAGTACAGTGGATATGCAAAGTTTGCCTTGCACAAGTGAATACAGTGAGTATAGTACAGTGAGTAAAAGTACACTTGCCTTTCACAAGGCCAACCCATACAAGTTCCATCCCTGACAGTACATATGGTCCCCCAAGTCCCACTAGGAATGATTCTTGAGTGCAGAGTCAGGAGTAAGCCGTGAGCATTGCTGGGTGTGGCCCCAAACAAAACTCAAGAAACAAACAAAACAGACTGCCTATAGTTTTTTACTCTCAAGTTCTGTTTTGCTCTGGTTTTGAGCCCTAGTGGTATTCAGTGCTTACTCCTGGCTCTGTGCTCAGGGATCACTCCTGGCAGGCTTGGGGCACCATACAGGGCATCAGGGATGGAACCCAAGTGGGCCACACACATGGCCAATACCCTACCTGCTGTACTATCACTCAACCCCTCAAGT